ACTGAACAGACAGTGATTGTACGGGACATGACATGTTAATGAATCACAACCTCACAATCAGCTAAACTCACCAGCTACACCCCGGTATTCCCCTAGGTGTCTCCCACCAGCCCCCCAAATCCCCATCCCCCTGCACCATCCCCATCCCTGTGCCCATCCGCCCAGCCCGGCTCTTACCCTTCGCAGCCCCGTCCTGCCGCCAGCCTCTCCCGAGCAGGTAACGAGCCCCCACATTAATGAGGACGATAAGGAGCAGGTTGGCAGCCACGAGGCCGGCGCTCAGATGGCTGCCTTCTCAACACGTAAATCCCGCCCGGCTTCTGGCAACCACATGTCCCCGGTGATGGGCCGCAGGGGAGCAGCCTGGCGGTGGAGGGTAAAACCGTCACCTTCCCTTAGTGCTGCCTTCCCTGCCAGCCAAGAAACCTCGATCCTGGGCACGTTGGGGGCGACTGAGGGCGAGAGTGGGGTTAGACAGTGACAGGGACTCAGGTCCGACAACACAGCCTAGGAGTCCCCCCGCTCTAACCACTCCCAGCCCTTCCCCTAGAGCTGGGGAGAGAACCCAGGTGTCCTGACTCCCAGCTCTAACCACCTGGATTTCAGAGCAAGGCAGAAATGGGGTGTATGTGTGTCTGTGTGTCCCTGCATTTACTCGGGGGGTGCTGGATGGAACCTGGTTACCAGAGACACTGAGATGTTGTACCAGGTCACTCGTCCAGCTGTCCGTCCTGCCATCGCCCGCTGCATGGAACCGGAAGCGGTAGGTGTCCTGATCGCTGGGGCGCAGCCCTGACACCTGCAGGGAGCAGTCGTGCTGCAGGTCCCCCAGATAGCGGGCGCGCCCCTTAAAGGCAGCATGGAAACGATCTTCATCCGAGTGATAGTCGGTTTGATCCCTGTCCTGTGTCCAGGTCACGGCACTGACCGTCCACCCTGCGGGGTAGGTGAAGGAGCAGGGGATGGTCACACACGAGCCGGCCCATCCAGCAAGCGGCCCTGGTGCGAATGTCACGTTGCACTTCTGGGCGTAGGCTCCTGCCGGGGACAGGAAGCGGGGATCAGACCAGCGCCCGGCCCCTGAGAGTTGGGGAACTCGCCCCAGCGAGGACCCAGCTGCTCAGGGTCTGGTTCAAGGCCAGACGCCCCCTAGGCTTGAACTGGCGCCGCTGGCGTGAGTGGCTGGGACTTCCCTGTGATGGAACCCGGTTCCGAGCACCCTCCCGGCAATGTAGACGCACTCCCAGGGCTGGGGAAACGGTCCCCACCCGTCCCCTGGACGGCAGCGCGGCACGTCTGTGTGAATTACTCACCGCTCAGGAGGCAAAAGGCAGGGACCAGCACCAAGGCCATCTCCGTCCAGGGCAGAGCGCTCAGGCGGCCTGGCAGGGAAAGGGGCCGGGAACGATTCACCTGCAGCATTTCTGGGTGACAGCTCGTCTGCGCCGGGCGATGGCGTCCAACCGCGGGATCAGCTGAGTGATCAGATATTTTAGACCTAGGGCCCTTTGTAAAAGAATTTCCTAACCAGAAGGGAGTAAGGCTTGGAGACTGGCCCGATGGAGCCGTTTCATTTCCATTCCCCTCTGCTTTGTGGGCCGTGTATGCAAGGCTCACCCCTTGGAGGTGCAATGCAGCCACCTCTGGGGAGGGGCACGTGGCTTTTTGGCAGCTCACAGCAACGCGGAGGATGGTTTCAGGGCAGGACCGGAGGAAGGTTCCTGTGTGGAGCTGACACATGCAGGGAGATTCAGGGAGGGGGAAGGGAACAAACCGCATTGGGGTGCAGCAGGGGGACGTCCTGACCCCTTGGGATAGAGCCATGTCAGGGAAGGGTGCCCAGCTGTTAAGCATTTCAACCAGCAGTGACATGCAGCCTGCTCTGGGGTGGGACACGGCAGCCATGTAACAGTGCAGGATGATGTTGCTCCACCATGTTCGGTCCCTGTATCTTATACCACGAGCTCGTCAGACAGGGACTGGCTCTCACGCCGTGTTTGGGAAGCACCCTATATATTGACAGGGCTAGCACAAGCTGCTGTGGGCTAGTGGCTAGAACAGACTGGGACCCAGCACTGTGGGTTCTCCTCCGATATGTGCCATGGCCCTGCTGTACGATGATGAGCCACTCACTTCCCTGGTCTATGCTTCAGTTTTTCCTCCCATCTATTGTCTATTTTAATTGCCAGTTCTTTGGGGCAGGGACTGTCTCTGGCTGTCTGTCTGGGCAGCGCCTGGCACAACGGGGCCCTGATCTTAGCTGGTGCAGGGACTGTCTCTGGCTGTGTCTGGGCAGCGCCTGCATCACCAGGCCCCGATCTCAGCTGCGGCCCCTCCCATAAGAAACTTCTCACCGTTTAATCTCCTTTCAGTGATTTAGACATTTGAAGATTCATTCTCCCCAAATCTGGCTTTTTGCCCCAAAAACAAGGAACAGCCGCTCTTACCTGGGCCCTGGGCCTGGGTTAGCCGCTGGGAATCTGGTCTGATCCCACCACTGCCACTAACGGGAGAGCAGAGAGCTTCGGGCAGGTAACTAGTAACCATGTTCATCTATATCTGTGGCAATAGCCCCAGGCGCCGTGAGTGGCTGGTGGCTCAGGGGAGGAAAGGGAACCATGACAGCATCTTCATGGCTGTAACAGAGATCCTAGTAGGGAGCCAGCTGTGGTCACTCTGTAGGGCTAAATTTTAAAATGGTACTATCAGAATTGCTGTAAACCTTGATTTCATTTTGTCAGGCACCCTTTTGGAATAACAGAAAGGAATGACTGTCTGAGACTGGGATCCTGTTTCCCATATGCATTACAATTAGGACCTTTTATAAAGTTTAGTTAGTAAAAGACAGGATTTTGTATTGTGTCTCTGGTAAATAGATTAGAGAAATGTTGAGGGCCTGAAGCCCCAATGTGAATTGTTTTAGTTCTAAGATTTAGCAAGGCTTAATTTACAGTGTATTCTGTATACATTTGAAGGTTTCTGTGAGACTGTTTTTGGGAATCAGGAATGCATGCATCAGGAAAAGAGAAGGTGTGAAAGCCACCGCAAATGTCCAGATGGTCAAGAAAAAGTGAGAGACCTGGAAACAGCAGGAGACAATCAGAAAATATCCATTGTCCCCATGCTAAACATGTCAGCAGCATTGACAGCCTCAGAGGGGAGGCAGGCACCCCCGAAGGAGAGACAACAAATAAATGATAACAGCAGAAAACCCCAAGATTAACACCACTTAAGGACTAATGATTACAGGAGGACATTGCAAAATGCATGGACTCAAATGGGACTTTACAACTATAAAGATGGGGTGTTTTGCCGTGGAACTCTGGGTTCAGTCCTGCGGAGCCTCGGAGCATCGGGTCGTGTCCAAAACAGAGCCCTGCTCCTCACTCGTGCTCAATCTAACTGGCCAGTACATTGACTTGAGCTTCAAACAGACTGTAACTATAAAGATAACTATAAAGACCATCTGCAGGACTTCTGTGTGTGTGTGTGTATGTTGTGTGACTGAAAGTATACACTAAGTGTTGTATTTACAATAAACGTGGCATTTTTTCTTATCCCTCTTGTAAGATCCTATTGGTATTATTTTTTTAGTACTCAATTAGGGTGAACTGCAAAGAATGGGGCAGACAATCCCCATAAAGCTGGTGGATATTCCAACACTTAGATTTACCAAAACAGCATAAAACAGCTTCTTTATTACCTCACGGGTTACTCAGCCGTCCAAACAACACAGTTCCCTTGAAGTGACCCAGCCTCAGGCCTCCATCCAGGTACCCACGTCAAATATGACAAACATTTCTGTAAATCGCATTTCATCGTATAAAAGAACAGGTTCTACCAACCTCCAAAGGATCGGACGCATCACCTCCCAGGTTAAGGAATGTTTCAGATCTTACCCAAATACACGCTCCCGCCAATTCTCATGAACTAAACTAAAATTTATTAAAAAACAAGAGAGAGAGTCTGGTTAAAAGATCCATATACAGACAGACCTGAGTTCAATTCCTTTGGGTGCAGATTCAGAGCAGAGATGCTGAGCTTTGTAGCCGCAAAGTGTTTTTTCAGAAATAGTTCATAGTCCAATGTGCAAATCTCACATTCAGGGCGCACCAGCATAACTGGGACCTCAATCTTGCGACTCAAACTTCCCCTGAAGAAGCTTAAGCAGCTCTGAGATGACGGAATCAGGACCCAAGGATCTTTTATACAATTTCATGTCCTCTTTGACAAGTTGTCCAGCCCTGGTATGGGGCCATATCCCCAGGGCTTCCTCCCTGGAGACACTATCTTCCTGTAGCCCTCCCCAGACTCAGTCCTTACTCAGCATCACAGTGTGAGAGGGAGCCCAGGTTGGTAAGCGAGAGAGCTCAGCGGTACCCCAGTTCCATGTTGCACCCCAGGGAACCCCTCACAGTGGCTGGGAGTCAGGACTCCTGGGTTCTATTCTTGGTGCCCCTTTGCCCATGGGGGATGGGGACCCTCCTCTCGCTCCGAGGGCTGAGCGGCTCCTCAGATGCTTTGAGATCCCAGCTGCCCAGCGCTAGAACAGGACCAAGCCTCATCCCTTCACCAGGGTCTCTCCCAGCACAGGTGTCGTGGTCCTTCGAACTCTGACCCAGCGGGCCCGTTTGGCCTGCAGCTGGGGAGTCTCTGGGGCTGGACGGGGTTAAAAGGAACAGGCACCCCCCGTTGTAACCAGCGCTGGGGCTGAGCTTTCACAATTTCCAGAGAAAGGGGAAGTTTCTCTGCGGCAGCCAGACAAAGTGAAAGGCTCCCACGGGAAAAATGGTGCTTGAAGCCAGAACCCTCGAGTCCCGACTCTCAGCCCCCTGCTCTAACCACTAGACCCCACGCCCCTCCCCCAGCTGGGGATAAAAACCAGAAGTCCTGAGTCTCAGTCACTGTAACCACTGGACCTTATTGCTACCAAACCAGCAAGTACGTTGCCTTTAAAGGCAGGGAACACACGATCACAGTTCCCTTTCCTCCCCTGAGCCACCAGCCACTCATGTTGCCTGGGGCTATTGCCACACATGTAGATGAAGATAATTCCTTTTTACCTGCCCCCAACCTCCCTGCTCTCCCGCTAGTGTCAGCGGTGGGATCAGACTGGAGACCCAGCCACTAACCCAGGCCCAGAGCCCAGGTAGGAGACGCTTTTCCTTGTTTTGGGGCAAAAAGCCAGAGTTGGGGAGAATGTTTCTTCGAATCTCTAAATGCCTAAAAGGAGATTAAATGGTGAGAGTTTCTTATGGGAGGGGCCGCAGCTGAGATCGGGGCCTGGTGAGGCAGGCGCTGCCCAGACACAGCCAGAGACAGTCCCTGCCCCAAAGAAATTACAATTAAAATAGACAATAGGTGAGAGAGAAAACTGAGGCAGAGGGAGGAGCAGTGACTGGCCCGCTATTGTATGGTGGGTCCATGACAGATCTAGGAGAAGAACCCGGGGCTCTGTATCCCACTGGTGTGCTCCAGCCACTGGGCCACACTGTCACTGGGGGTGGCAATGAAAATACACTGGGGGCTTCCCAAGCACAGCGTGAGAACCAGTCTCAGCCCGACGTGCTCACGGTGTAAGATATGGGGACTGAACACGACTGGGCAACATTACCCGGTGCTGTTAAACACCTGTCGTGCCCTACCCCAGAGCAGGCTGCATTTGACTGTTCGTGAACGTGTCACTGAAGGCGTTTGAGATCTTTTGGGGGAGCCCATGCTAGACTGATCAACTGTTCAGAGAGGGAGCATCATGTTTGGGACAGAACTGGGGCCTGGGAACCAGGACTCCTGGGTTCTATCTCAGCTCTGGGAGCAGGGTGGGGGGCTAGTGGGTTAAAGGAGGGGAAGCTGGGAGCCAGGACTCCTGGGTTCTAGTTCCAGCTCTGAAAAGGGAAATTTATTTTCAGACACACCCAGGCCCTCAGACCCTTGCTGGCCAGTTGCACCATGACCCAGAGCGAACGTTCTCGGAGCGGTTGGGTAACATCAGCTAGTGGCTCTGCCCAGGCTGGGGTCACAGATACACAGAGACGGGCCCCGATAAGCAATCCAGCTATCGGAGGCAAAGCAGCAAAGAAAGTGCTAGGGGGTGTGGAGCTGCAGGACGGGCCGGGGGGCTGTGTAGGGGGCTCTCCCCTCGCAGTCAGGGCTGATCTCGGCATCTGGGGCTTTGCTGTTCCCTACTGAAACACTGAACCCCGACCGTGCCCCTTGTGCCTGTGATACCCCTCCCCCACATGGCTCTCTCCAAAGGGTTCAGAATGTCCCCCTGGGGTCCCTGCCACACCCCAAAGTGCTTTGTTCTATTCCACCTCTCTGACTCTCCCTGCACATGTCGGCTCCATTTAGGAACCGTCCTCCAGTCCTGCCCTAAAAATGCCCTCTGCGTTGCTGTGAGCTGCCAAACAGCCACTCGCCCTGTCAAGGTTCCTCCCCCACTCTGAACTCTAGGGTACAGATGTGGGGACCTGCATGAAAAACCTCCTAAGCTTATCTTTACCAGCTTAGGTCAAAACTTCCCCAAGGTACAAAATATTACACCCGTTATCCTTGGAATGGCCGCTACCACCACCAAACTAATACCGGTTACTGGGGAAGAGCTGTTTGGACGCGTCTTTCCCCCCAAAATACTTCCCAAAACCTTGCACCCCACTTCCTGGACAAGGTTTAGTAAAAAGCCTCACCAATTTGCCTAGGTGACTACAGACCCAGACCCTTGGATCTTAAGAACAATGAACAATCCTCCCAACACTTGCACCCCCCCTTTCCTGGGAAATGTTGGATAAAAAGCCTCACCAATTTGCATAGGTGACCACAGACCCAAACCCTTGGATCTGAGAACAATGAAAAAGCATTCAGTTTTTACAAGAAGACTTTTAATAAAAAATAGAAGTAAATAGAAATAAAGAAATCCCCCCTGTAAAATCAGGATGTAGATATCTTACAGGGTAATTAGATTCAAAAACATAGAGAACCCCTCTAGACAAAACCTTAAGTTACAAAAAAGATACACAGACAGAAATAGTTATTCTATTCAGCACAATTCTTTTCTCAGCCATTTAAAGAAATCATAATCTAACACATACCTAGCTAGATTACTTACTAAAAGTTCTAAGACTCCATTCCTGTTCTGTCCCTGGCAAGAGCACATACAGAGAGACCCAAACCCTTTGTTCCTCTCCCTCCTCCCAGCTTTTGAAAGTATCTTGTCTCCTCATTGGTCATTTTGGTCAGGTGCCAGCGAGGTTACCTTTAGCTTCTTAACCCTTTACAGGTGAGAGGAGCTTTCCCCCTGGCCAGGAGGGATTTCAAAGGGGTTTACCCTTCCCTTTATATTTATGACACGCCCCTCCCCAGAGGTGGCTGCATTTCACCCCTGAGGCCGTAAGCCCAGCACACATGGCCCGCTAGGCACATAGGGAGAGAAATGTAACCAGTCCTTGCTCCGCCGGGCCAATCTCTGGGCTTTATTCCCTTCTGGTTAGGATGTTCTTTTACAAAGGGCTCTAGGTGTAAAATACCTGGTGAGGCAGCTGATCCCGCAGCCGGACGCCGTCGCCCGGTGCAGACGAGCTGTCACCCAGAAATGCTGCAGGTGAATCATTCCCGGCCCCTTTCCCCTCCCAGGCCGGCTGAGCGCTCTGCCCTGGACGGAGATGGCCTTGGTGCTGGTCCCTGCCTTTTGCCTCCTGAGCGGTGAGTAATTCACACAGACGCCACGCGTTGCCAGCCAGGGGACCGGTGGGGACCGTTTCCCCAGCCCTGGGATTGCGTCTACACTGACGGGAGGGTGCTCAGAACCGGGTTCCATCGCAGGGAAGTCCCAGCCACTCGCACCAGCGGCTCCAGTTCAAGCCTAGGGGGCGTCTGGCCTTGAACCAAAGTTGGCAACCCTAAGCTGACCCCTCACCAGTGGGGCTTGTCCTGCCCTCAGGGCCTCTTGCCCAAGGGCCAGACACCAGGTATGGGCGGTTGGGGGTGGGGGTGGGGGGCCGAACTGAGTGGGGATGAGGGGAGCACTGAGGGGCAATATGGAGACCTGAATTGAGGGGGGATGGGGAGGTGAACTGAGGGTGGCTGGACTGAAGGGGTGGCCAGGGAAAGTGAACTGAGCAGGGTTTTAGGGGGACTGAACTGAGCAGGGGTGAACTAATGGGATGCAGAGAACGGACTAGACAGAAGGGGGGCTGGGCAGATGTGGGGAGGGGGTCAGCCTGGACTGATGGGAGAACTCGGGGGGACAGGCGTGATTTGGGGGCCTGGTGTGATTAATTGCTGGGCAGGGGATGGGCTGATGTTGGGCGGGGGGCACCTCCAAACTCTCCTTCCCCAATTCACAGGGGAGCGCTGGCCGGGCTCTCTGTCACCCCCAAGCCAGGAGTGGGCGGGGGGCTCAGGCAGCCCCACAACACAACATCCCCGACTGTGTTTTACAGCCCCTGGTTTGGGGGCTGAGCTGATGCTGGGTTCTCCCGGCAGGATCCATGCGGCAGCCCAGCCTGCGGGCGGGTTCCCCAACTCCCTGGGGCCGGGCGCCGGCCTGATCATAGAATCATAGAATCATAGAATATCAGGGTTGGAAGGGACCCCAGAAGGTCATCTAGTCCAACCCCCTGCTTGAAGCAGGACCAATTCCCAGTTAAATCATCCCAGCCAAGGCTTTGTCAAGCCTGACCTTAAAAACCTCTAAGGGTATGTCTACACTACGGAATAAGGTCGAATTTATAGAAGTCGGTTTTTTAGAAATCGGTTTTATAAATTCGAGTGTGTGTGTCCCCACAGTAAATGCTCTAAGTGCATTAAGTGCATTAACTCGGCGGAGCGCTTCCACAGTACCGAGGCAAGCGTCGACTTCCGGAGCGTTGCACTGTGGGTAGCTATCCCACAGTTCCCGCAGTCTCCGCTGCCCATTGGAATTCTGGGTTGAGATCCCAATGCCTGATGGGGCTAAAACATTGTCGCGGGTGGTTCTGGGTACATATCGTCAGCCTCCCGTTCCCTCCCTCCCCCCGTGAAAGCAAGGGCAGACAATCATTTCGCGCCTTTTTTCCTGAGTTACCTGTGCAGACGCCATACCATGGCAAGCATGGAGCCCGCTCAGGTAACCGTCACCCTATGTCTCCTGGGTGCTGGCAGACGCGGTACGGCATTGCTACACAGTAGCAGCAACCCCTTGCCTTGTGGCAGCAGACGGTACAGTACGACTGGTAGCCGTCATCGTCATGTCTGAGGTGCTCCTGGTCGCCTCTGTGAGGTCGATCAGGAGCGCCTGGGCAGACATGGGCACAGGGACTAAATTTGGAGTGACTTGACCAGGTCATTCTCTTTAGTCCTGCAGTCAGTCCTATTGAACCGTCTTATGGTGAGCGGGCAGGCGATACGGACTGCTAGCAGTCGTGCTGTACCATCTTCTGCCGAGCAGTCATGAGATGTGGATGGCATGCAGTCCGTCTGCTGCCAGCCAAAGATGTAAAAGATAGATGGAGTGGGTCAAAACAAGAAATAGACCAGATTTGTTTTGTACTCATTTGCTTCCCCCCCTTCCCCTGTCTAGGGGACTCATTCTTCTAGATCACACTGCAGTCAAGGTGCAGCGAGGTAAATCTAGCCATGTATCAATCAGAGGCCAGGCTAACCTTCTTGCTCCAATAAGGACAATAACTTAGGTGCACCATTTCTTATTGGAACCCTCTGTGAAGTCCTGCCTGAAATACTCCTTGATGTAAAGCCACCCCCTTTGTTGATTTTAGCTCCCTGAAGCCAACCCTGTAAGCGCCCCTCCCAGCGTCAGAGCAATGGCAAACAATCGGGCATCTGAGAGTGCTGTCCAGAGCAGTCACAATGGAGCGCTCTGATGGGGCTAAAACATTGTCGCGGGTGGTTCTGGGTACGTGTCGTCAGGCCCCCGTTCCCTCCCTCCCTCCGTGAAAGCAAGGGCAGACAATCATTTCGCGCCTTTTTTCCTGAGTTACCTGTGCAGACGCCATACCACAGCAAGCATGGAGCCCGCTCAGGTAACCGTCACCCTATGTCTCCTGGGTGCTGGCAGACGCGGTACGGCTTTGCTGCACAGTAGCAGCAACCCCTTGCCTTCTGGCAGCAGACGGTGCAATACGACTGGTAGTCGTCCTCATCGTGTCCGAGGTGCTCCTGGCCGCGTCGGCTGGGAGCGCCTGGGCAGACATGGGCGCAGGGACTAAATTTGGAGTGACTTGACCAGGTCATTCTCTTTAGTCCTGCAGTCAGTCCTATTGAACCGTCTTATGGTGAGCAGGCAGGCGATACGGACTGCTAGCAGTCGTACTGTACCATCTTCTGCCAGGCAGGCAAGAGATGAGGATTGCTAGCAGTCGTATTGCACCATCTTCTGCCAGGCAGGCAAGAGATGGGGATGGCTAGCAGGCGTACTGTACCATCTTCTGCCAAGCAGCCATGAGATGTGGATGGCATGCAGTCCTTCTGCACCGTCTGCTGCCAGCCAAAGATGTAAAAGATAGATGGAGTGGGTCAAAACAAGAAATAGACCAGATTTGTTTTGTACTCATTTGCCTCCTCCCCTGTCTAGGGGACTCATTCCTCTAGGTCACACTGCAGTCACTCACAGAGAAGGTGCAGCGAGGTAAATCTAGCCATGTATCAATCAGAGGCCAGGCTAACCTCCTTGTTCCAATAACAACGATAACTTAGGTGCACCATTTCTTATTGGAACCCTCCGTGCAGTCCTGCCTGAAATACTCCTTGATGTACAGGCACCCCCTTTGTTGATTTTAGCTCCCTGAAGCCAACCCTGTAAGCCGTGTCGTCAGTCGCCCCTCCCTCCGTCAGAGCAACGGCAGACAATCGTTCCGCGCCTTTTTTCTGTGCGGACGCCATACCACGGCAAGCATGGAGCCCGCTCAGCTCACTTTGGCAATTAGGAGCACATTAACCACCACACGCATTATTCAGCAGTATATGCAGCACCAGAACATGGCAACGCGATACCGGGCGAGGAGGCGACGTCAGCGCGGTCCCGTGAGTGATCAGGACATGGACACAGATTTCTCTGAAAGCATGGGCCCTGACAATGCATGCATCATGGTGCTAATGGGGCAGGTTCATGCTGTGGAACGCCGATTCTGGGCTCGGGAAACAAGCACAGACTGGTGGGACCGCATAGTGTTGCAGGTCTGGGACGATTCCCAGTGGCTACGAAACTTTCGCATGCGTAAGGGCACTTTCATGGAACTTTGTGACTTGCTTTCCCCTGTCCTGAAGCGCATGAATACCAAGATGAGAGCAGCCCTCACAGTTGAGAAGCGAGTGGCGATAGCCCTCTGGAAGCTTGCAACGCCAGACAGCTACCGGTCAGTTGGGAATCAATTTGGAGTGGGCAAATCTACTGTGGGGGCTGCTGTGATGCAAGTAGCCCACGCAATCAAAGATCTGCTGATATCAAGGGTAGTGACCCTGGGAAATGTGCAGGTCATAGTGGATGGCTTTGCTGCAATGGGATTCCCTAACTGTGGTGGGGCTATAGATGGAACCCATATCCCTATCTTGGCACCGGAGCACCAAGCCGCCGAGTACATAAACCGCAAGGGGTACTTTTCAATAGTGCTGCAAGCTCTGGTGGATCACAAGGGACGTTTCACCAACATCAACGTGGGATGGCCGGGAAAGGTGCATGATGCTCGCATCTTCAGGAACTCTGGTCTGTTTCAAAAGCTGCAGGAAGGGACTTTATTCCCAGACCAGAAAATAACTGTTGGGGATGTTGAAATGCCTATATGTATCCTTGGGGACCCAGCCTACCCCTTAATGCCATGGTTCATGAAGCCATACACAGGCAGCCTGGACAGTGGTCAGGAGCTGTTCAACTACAGGCTGAGCAAGTGCAGAATGGTGGTAGAATGTGCATTTGGACGTTTAAAGGCGCGCTGGCGCAGTTTATTGACTCGCTTAGACCTCAGCGAAACCAATATTCCCACTGTTATTACTGCTTGCTGTGTGCTCCACAATATCTGTGAGAGTAAGGGGGAGACGTTTATGGCGGGGTGGGAGGTTGAGGCAAATCGCCTGGCTGCTGGTTACGCGCAGCCAGACACCAGGGCGGTTAGAAGAGCACAGGAGGGCGCGGTACGCATCAGAGAAGCTTTGAAAAACAGTTTCATGACTGGCCAGGCTACGGTGTAAAAGTTCTGTTTGTTTCTCCTTGATGAACCCCCCGCCCCTTGGTTCACTCTACTTCCCTGTAAGCTAACCACCCTCCCCTCCTCCCTTTAATCATTGCTTGCAGAGCCAATAAAGTCATTGCTGCTTCACAGTCATGCATTCGTTATTCATTCATCACACAAATAGGGGGATGACTACCAAGGTATCCCAGGAGGGGTGGTGGAGGAGGGAAGGAAAATGCCACACAGCACTTTAAGCACAGCACTTTAAAAGTTTACAACTTTAAAATTTATTGAATGACAGCCTTCTTTTTTTTGGGCAATCCTCTGTGGGGGAGTGGCTGGTTGGCCGGAGGCCTCCCCACCGTGTTCTTGGGCGTCTGGGTGTGGAGGCTATGGAACTTGGGGAGGAGGGCGGTTGGTTACAGAGGGGCTGCAGTGGCAGTCTGTGCTCCAGCTGCCTTTGCTGCAGCTCAACCATACACTGGAGCATACTGGTTTGGTCCTGCAGCAGCCTCAGCATTGAATCCTGCCTCCTCTCATCACGCTGCCGCCACCTTTGAGCTTCAGCCCTGTCTTCAGCCCGCCACTTACTCTCTTCAGCCCGCCACTTACTCTCTTCAGCCCTCCACCTCTCCTCCCGGTCATTTTGTGCTTTCCTGCACTCTGACATTATTTGCCTCCACGCATTCGTCTGTGCTCTGTCAGTGTGGGAGGACAGCATGAGCTCGGAGAACATTTCATCGCGAGTGCGTTTTTTTTTCTTTCTAAGCTTCACTAGCCTCTGGGAAGGAGAAGATCCTGTGATCATTGAAACACATGCAGCTGGTGGAGAAAAAAAAAGGGACAGCGGTATTTAAAAAGACACATTTTATAAAACAGTGGCTACACTCTTTCAGGGTAAACCTTGAAAGTTAACATTACATACATAGCACATGTGCTTTCGTTACAAGGTCGCATTTTGCCTCCTCCCACCGCGTGAACGGATTTTGGTTGAATGCCAGCAAACATACACTGCAATGCTTTGTTCTACAGTGATTCCCCAGTACGTGTTGCTGGCCTGGAGTGGTAAAGTGTCCTACCATGAAGGACGAAATAAGGCTGCCCTCCCCAGAAACCTTTTGCAAAGGCAGAACCGCAAATGCCAGGGCAAAGTAATCCTTTCACATGCTTGCTTTTAAACCATGTATAGCATTTTAAAAGGTACACTCACCAGAGGTCCCTTCTCCGCCTGCTGAGTCCAGGAGGCAGCCTTGGGTGGGTTCGGGGGTACTGGCTCCAGGTCTAGGGTGAGAAACAGTTCCTGGCTGTCGGGAAAACCGGTTTCTCCGCTTGCTTGCTGTGAGCTATCTACAACCTCCTCCTCATCATCTTCTTCGTCCCCAAAACCTACTTCTGTATTGCCTCCATCTCCATTGAAGGAGTCAAACAACACTGCTGGGGTAGTGGTGGCTGAACCCCCTAAAATGGCATGCAGCTCATCATAGAAGCGGCATGTTTGGGGCTCTGACCCAGAGCGGCCGTTCGCCTCTCTGGTTTTCTGGTAGGCTTGCCTCAGCTCCTTCAGTTTCACGCGGCACTGCTTCGGGTCCCTGTTATGGCCTCTGTCCTTCATGCCCTGGGAGATTTTCAGAAAGGTTTTGGCATTTCGAAAACTGGAACGGAGTTCTGATAGCACGGATTCCTCTCCCCAAACAGCGATCAGATCCCGTACCTCCCGTTCAGTCCATGCTGGAGCTCTTTTGCGATTCTGGGACTCCATCATGGTCACCTCTGCTGATGAGCTCTGCATGGTCACCTGCAGCTTGCCACGCTGGCCAAACAGGAAATGAGATTCAAAAGTTCGCGGTTCTTTTCCTGTCTACCTGGCCAGTGCATCTGAGTTGAGAGCGCTGTCCAGAGCGGTCAGAATGGAGCACTCTGGGATAGCTCCCGGAGGCCAATACCATCGAATTGTGTCCACAGTACCCCAAATTCGAGCCGGCAACGTCGATTTAAGCGCTAATCCACTTGTCAGGGGTGGAGTAAGGAAATCGATTTTAAGAGCCCTTTAAGTCGAAATAAAGGGCTTCATTGTGTGGACGGGTGCAGGTTTAAATCGATTTAACGCTGCTAAATTCGATCTAAAGTCCTAGTGTAGACCAGGGCTAAGGAAGGAGATTCTACCACCTCCCTAGGTAACGCATTCCAGTGTTTCACCACCCTCTTAGTGAAAAAGTTTTTCCTAATATCCAACCTAAACCTCCCCCACTGCAACTTGAGACCATTACTCCTCGTTCTGTCCTCTGCTACCATTGAGAACAGTCTAGATCCCCGATTCCTGTCCCCGGCAGGCGCCTACACCCAGGAGTGGAGCGTGAGACTCGCACCAGGGCCCCTGGCTGGAGGGACCGGCTCCTGCGTGACCATCCCCTGCTCCTTCACCTACCCCGCAGGGTGGACGGTCAGGGCCGTGAGCTGGATACGGGACGAGGATCAAACCGTCTATGACCGGGACGAGGCTCGTGTCCACACGGACTTCAAGGGGCGCGCCCGCTATCTGGGGGACCTGCAGCGCGACTGCTCCCTGCGGGTGTCGGGGCTGCGCCGCAGCGATCAGGGCACCTACCGCTTCCGCTTCCATGCAGCGGGCGGTGGCAGGACGGACACGTGGGGGAGTGAGCCAGGACAGCGGCTCCGTGTCTCCGGTAACCAGGTTCCGTCCAGCACCCCCGGGTCCAGGCAGGGCCCGAGGAGAACCGCAGAGAGGGCCCCACAGGCCAGCACGGACACCCCGAGCAGGGCTCGTCCCCTCCAGCAGGGGGCAGCACCGGGACACGGACACACGGACAGGCGCGAGCCCGGGGGCCCGGCTCCAGCAACGTGCGGGGCCGGGTCTCTCCCCCGGCCCCACCTGCCGCCCCCCCGAGTGTCCCCCGGCCTCCCCTGCAGCTCCTGCCTCGGGGTCCTACCGCGCCCCCCCCCCCGGCTCCCAGCCCCCCTTGCCGGGACAGGCGGACCCTGAGCCTGCCCTTCCCCCGCAGACACTTTCATTTTCCAGCGGGACCCTCCACTAGCACAGGAAGGGCGAGCGGGAGGCTCCCGGAGCAGCTCCCCGGCAGAGGGCAGGGGCAGCACAGGGCCGTGTGGGCAGGGACGGCTGAACTGCCGGCAATTGGGAGCCTGATGGGCGGCTGCTGCACAGGGAACTTAGGGGAGCTGATGGGGGGGCTGTCGGCCCACCCTGGCCCCACCAGCTCGCTCCAAGGGGCTGCTCTTTCTGCAGGCAGTGGACAAAGCAGGCGGCTGCCAAACAACCCGACAAGGGAGCGTTGGGCAACTTTAAACCAGCATGTTCTCGAATTCGGAGCTTCTCAAACTGTGGTCCACGGACCACCAGTGGCCCGCGAGCTCCATTCAGGTGGTCCGCGGCTAGTTCCCTCTCAGGTGCACTCCTGGGTGACCGCACAGGAGAGAATGAAGGGCCACCCCCTCATTAGTGGAGCTGCGCAGGCCTGGCTCCTCTAATTAGGTGCGTGGACCCTGGACAAGATGCACATGTAAGGGGAGGTGGTGGCCTTGGGGGGGAATAGGGGGTAGGTAGGAGGGAGCAGTGGTGTGAGAAGAGGGGGTGGGGGGAATTTGGGACGTGCAGGGCTACGGTGGCCAGAGAAAGAGGCTCCAGGGCTGCGGCTGCTGCAGAGAGACCCCCTTCCTTCCCAGCTTCAGCTCTGTGGCTGCTGTGGCAGGGGAGAGACCCCCCCTCCTTTCCAGCCAGAGCTCAGGGGCTGCTGCAGTGAGTGGGGGAGAGAGGGAGAGACGCCCCCCCTCCACTGCTTCCCAGTCTCAGCTTGGGGGCTGCTGCGGTGGGGGAGAGAGGGAGAGACCCCCCCTCCACTCCTTCCCAGTCCCAGCTTGGGGGCTGCTGCGGTGCGGGAGAGAGGGCACATCCATCCCATTAGAAAGGTTAAGACGACTGATATTAAAATATGAGTTGTGTGCTTTTATGTGTAGAAGAAAAAAAGTTCATTATTATTTAGGGTTTTTTAATATAGCACTTTTACCCGAAGTGCTTTACAATGGTTCGTTAACGATACAAACAACATTTGAAAAGATCATTAAGTGGTCCACCGAGACCCTCAGGAATTCTCAAGTGGTCCACGGAAAAACAAGTTGGAGACCCCTGCTCTGACTGATCAGCAAGGAAACAACAAAACAAGGTTAACCGGGAGGACTTTAAGTGAGGATGAAGTCTGATGAAGTGAGCTGTAGCTCACGAAAGCTCATGCTCAAATAAATTGGTTAGTCTCTAAGGTGCCACAAGTCCTCCTTTTCTTTTTAAGTGAGGAGTTACTGTAGATTGGCTTACAAGGGGGGAGGGGCCGGGGGAGGGAGGGCTTGGACCTGTTCTGGGCACCACCAAAAATTATACAAACCAGCCGCCCCTACACACACACACACACCATTTCTGCCTTCCTCTGAAATGCAAGTGCTTAGAGCTGGGAGTCAGGACTCCTGGGTTCTCTCTCCAGCTCTAGGGGAAGGGGGCGGGGGGGAGTGGTTAGCGCAGGGGGGACTTGTGGGTCAGACTCTCAGGCTGTTGTCGGATCCTTGTCCCCGTCCCTCTGTCTAACCCTTGGCTTGCGCTGAAGAGCCGCTGGGACTGACCCTGCAGCCAGTGTAACGCAGCAGGCGTGAGGGGCTCTCAGGTGGAGACTATAGTGGGACTGGGACCCTGCAGGACCCCCCAAACAGCGGGAGTGGGTAAAATGAGCTTTGTTGGGGGTGGGCAAAAAACCAGGCTGCGTTAATTGGCGGGAAAACACTAAATCTCATAAATGTACCAAGAGTCGCCGACTGGGGAAATAGCTAAATATTTTGTTTCAGCTTCTCTTTCCTCTCCATGTTTATCTCCCTCGCTCCAAACCTGGGGAAATGCACACACCCAAGTCAGGTCAGACCCGTTCTGGGATAACAGGAGTTGAAGTGTGTTTCTACCTGGTTCAAGCAAGATTTGTTTTATTCTTTCAGTGTAAAAATTGTCTCTGAATCCCGTTGGTACAGATCAGATCGTCACCCACCGGTTTCTGTCGGGTGGTTGGTTGGTTTAGCAGCCTGGGGGAATCCATCTCTCTTGTCAGATTTGCGGGATCTAAGGTTTTTGTGGCTGGGAGGGGGATGCAAATGCAAAAACCAAAGCAGGGCACTTGAATAACAGGAACGGGACAGAATTAAAAACAATCCCGCTTAGGGCTCCAGTCTGAGGCCCGACGTGTGGTGCCCCCCGCTGGCGGCTGCGCCCCCTCCGGGCAGACCCAGCGCTCCCCGTGTCTCAGGGGAACTTTTGCTGCTCTCCCTCCTGGCCACGAGCCCTCATTGCTGGGGCCAGCCGAGCTCCCAGGCTGGGCCATGCCCACACCCTGGGAGCTGCTCCCCGCTCTGCAGCCAGGCCGTGACCCCTGGGAGCGCTGCCAGGCCCAGGGCCCCAGCAGGGTTCAATGGCTCCTGACCCCTCCTCTACTCACAGACGATCTGTGCCAGCCCTCCCTGGGGCGCCGAACACAACCGGGACCCTCCCTCACCTGCTCCGTGGGGGCAACCTGCCCCCATCCCCCGTCGTGGTACAACCGAGATGGCGTGCAGCGGAGCCCAGAGGCAAACCCCGGGCGGGGCTGGGGCGTCCGAGCTGCGAATATCCCCGTCCCAGCTGGACCCCGGTGCGGCGCTGAGATGCCAGGTGGATGGATACTGGGATGAGTGTGACTCTGACCAATCCCAGCCCCTGGGGACAGGTGAGGTCTGCTTCTACACATGGCATGGTTAGAGGAGGGGGGGCGGGAGCCAGGACACCTGGGTTCTATCCCTGACATGCGGGGAGGAGGGACGACTGGTTGGAGTCAGGAACCAGGATTCCTGGCTTCTATCCCCAGTTCGGGAAGGGGGGTGGTCTAGTGTGCTAAAGTGGGGGAGACTCAGTGCCAGGACTCCTGGGTTCTTTCCCCAGCTCAAAAACTCTCACCTGGCTTTACCAAATATTCTTGCCCGTGGCACTGGACGGGGAGGGAGCTGCCCCTTTGTTCAGTCCCGGGGCCTCACTGACAAACTCTCTCCCAACTTTCGCCCTCAGTTACCCCCAACGTGCCCAGGGTCGCGATTTTGTGGCCAGCACGGAAGGCAGCACTAAGGGAAGGCGACGGTTTTACCCTGCGTTGCCAGGCTGCTGCCCTGTGGCCCGTCACCAGGTACGTCTGGTCCCGCGGGGACGTGTGGCTGCCAGAAACCAGGCGGGATTTACGTGTTGAGAAGGCAGCTGTCTCCGACGGAGGGAACTACGTGTGCGGGGTCTGGGTGTCCGGCCCCGGCTGGGGATATCTGAGCCTCTCTGCGAGGGAATCGGTCGAAGTTCAGCGTAAGCAGCGAGGAGGGCTGACGAGAGCCTCCTCCCTTGCACCCCCGATACTCCCCACACGGCCTCCTGGAGCAGCCTCGCGTGACCTCATCTCATCCCCCCTGCTTTGCCCCTGCCTCATATTCCGCCCCCGCCTCCTAATAACCGGGTTTGCTCAACCCAGTGCTGCTGGCTCTGGGCTGGGCCTCCTGCTCCTCTGCATCGCTCATGTGGCTGGGCCCAGCAGAGACAAATTCAGTTTGTGTCCCCCCTGCCCACCTGTCCCTGGGCCCCAGCCCCCTTTGGGCCACTGCCCATCCCCCCACCTGTCCCGGAGCCCCATTCCACACTGAGCTCGGCCCCGTCCCCTCCCACCTTCCCGGGTGTCCAGCCGCCTCTGTGCCAGGCCCTGCCCCTCCATCTGCCTTGTGTCCCCGGACCCCTCTGGGACAGTCTCTGCCCCCCTCCGCCCCCAGCTGCCCCTGACCCCCAGCCCCATATGGACCACGCCCGTACCACCCCTCACCTTCTCCAGGCACCCAGCTTGCTTTGGGCCAGACCCTCTACCCCGCAACTGCCCTGTGCTCCCAGACCTTTCTGGGGGACTCCTCCCCCATATCCCCATGCCGCCCTGCCTGTTCTCGCCCCCTGGAGCCACATGGGCCAGGCCCTGCCCCTCACCCCCTGCCCTGGATCCCTTCCCCCCTCTGGGCCAGGTCCCCCCACTCTGTCTCTCTCCGTTCACGCCCCGTGTCTCCGTCTCGCCCCCAGATGCCCCCAAAGGTGTCCATGTTACGGCAGCGCCGGACACCAGCCCGCAGGCAGGGGCATCGGTGACGCTAACGTGCAGTTACACCAGCAGCCTCCCCACCCCCAACTCCTACACCTGGTACCGGGGCGACCGGCAGCTGGGGGGATCCCAGCAGGAAATGGTGTTGAAGAGCATCACGGCGGAGCAGGCTGGGGAGTATCGCTGCCAGGCCGACAATGGGATCGGCCAGTCCCCGTCCCCCCCCATCAACATCACCGTCCTCTGTAAGTGCCGGGGACGTGAGAAAAGAGACCTCCGGGGTGGGGGAGGGGCTGGGATTGTGCCTTTGTGCCGTAGGCCCAGCGGGGGAGGGTCATTGTGGCGATCGCGGTGGATCACGAGCTCACCAGGAGCTCCCAGCGCCACGGAAGCCAGCAGGGCTAGCGCCATCCTGGGGTGCAGGGACAGGGCAATCTGGAATCGAGCAGAGAGGGGATTTTACCTCTGGATCTCGCCCTGGTGCAACCATGTCTGGGATCCTGTGCCCAGTTCTGGGGCCCGCACTCCCAGGAGTTGGTGATCAGCTGGGGAGGGGTCAGAGAAGAGCCATGAGAAGGAGTCAGGGGTTGGAAAACCTGCCCTAGGGTGAGACACTCCAGGAGCTCCGTCTGTTTAGCTGAACCAAGGGAAGGGGAAGGGGTGACGTGAGTCCCGTCTACAAGATCCTACGCGGAGAAGAGAACGTTGATAATGGGCCTGGCGGCCGAGCAGACAGAGATCCAGGGGCTGGAAGCTGAAGCTAGACAAATTCAGACTGGCATTAAGGTGCAAATGTTGAACAGGAAGGAGAATTTGCCATTGAAAGAATGATCTCCGGACGTGGTGGATTCTCCATCCCGGGGAATGTTTAAATCACTCTGGGATGTTTTGCTAAAGGATCGGCTCTCGTTCAAACGGGAATGAATTCAGGGGAGTCTTGAGGCCTGTGTCACCCAGCTGGTCCTTCTGCCCTTAGATTCTATGGATCATTCTTCCCTTGGCCCATCGCTGCCTTTGCCCGAGGTCTTGGGGAGGCTGGCTGTGATTCCGCCAGCCCTTTAATCAAACAGGCAGGGGCTGGACTACATCTCCCATGATGCATCACAGCCACGAATTCCAATGAAGCGCCCCTCCCCGCACCAAGAGGGGACCAGGTGGTGCATCATAGGAGATGTAGTTCAGCCGGACAGCCCGGCCGACAGAGGAGACTGAGAACGTGAGGCACAGGAACTGCAAGTCCCATGATGCACCACACCGAAGGACTCCTATGACTCACGTGGAATGATGGGATTTTGTGAGATCTTGGTTTTCATTTTAAAAAAACCAAAATTTCTAGTAGAGGTGGCCAGGAAATGGGTTTTTTTTTTCCCAAGTGGGAAAGCTCCACTTTTCATAGAAATGTCAAAAAACGAAATATTTCAATTGAAAATGGCCTGATGGGAGTTGTAGTTTGAGTGTCTTGTGCTTCCATTCCCTTCTGTGGGCCAGGATCTGTAGCCGGACTATATCTCCCATGATGCACCTTGGCGTAGGATTCCTGTGATGCACGCCCTTCCCGCACCAAGAGAGGGGCTGGTGGTGCGTCATGAGAGATGTAGTCCAGACAGACACCTTGGCCTAGGGTAGAGAATGAGGATACAAGGCTCTGAAACTGCATCTCCCAGGATGCACCCTGACTATGGATTCCTATGAGGCACCCTCCCCATCACCAAGAGGGGAGATAGTGGAGCATCATGGGAAATGTCATCCAGCTGGGCAGCACAGCCTATAGAGGGGGCTGGGGGCGCTGGGACGGGAGGGCTTCGCGTCTGAGCATCAGGTCTGCTGACTCCAAAGCCACCACGTGTAATAATCCAGCCCCATGCAGCCTCACTGTGGGCTTGTTACCCGGCTGCCGTCCCTCAGCAAATGGGGTTCGAAAATCTGCTGCAGGGTTGATCCAAGAACCCTCCTTTCTCCTTTCCAGCCACCCCCCGTGTTTGGGCTCCCACCTACATCCTGGGACCTGCAGTTGCGCTCGTCCTGCTGCTGCTGGTGGGGCTGGTCGGCGTCATAGCGTGGAGGTATTTGCGCTTGCTTTGCAAACCGGTGATATCCGCGTCTCGGGTCGTCTGGCCATCCCCAGCTCCTCCCGCCTGGCCTTTGCCGGAGAACCCCGCAATCCGGGAGTGAGAATTGCAGAGCCAGTTTGGGTGCACGGAAACCCAGTCGGGGGGAGGTGATTGAATGGTGGTGGTTGGGTCCCACACGGATACCTGACACCCGCAGGGGCCTGGGAAGGGCTGGATGGCCTCCGGGTTACACGGCTGGGCTGGTGGTCAGGGGAGCAGGGGTCAAGCCCAGGCAGGAGGTTCTATTGTGTGGGATCCTTTGTCCTGTTCCTTCCCCTCCTGAACCGAAGCAGATGTCGTTTTGCCTCTGAGCTGTTGGTCTCCTTTATTTGTAGGAAGAGGCGGAGCAAACGCCAGGGGCTGAGCAGCGATCCGGTAAGTGCATCTATGGGGCTGGGAGCCAGGACGCCTGGGTTCTTTCCCTAGCTCTGGGAGGGGAGTGGGGTCTAGTGGGCGAGAGCAAGAGGTGCTGGGAGCCAGGACGCCTGGGTTCTATCCCCAGCTCTGTTGCTGACTCACTGCATGACTTTAGACGAGGTCTGTCCCTCAGTTTTCCCCTCCATAAAACAGGATTATAAAATTCCTCTCCTTGTCCCCTTCCCACCCCCGTCCCCGAGCAGGACAGAAGGTCTTTCCAATCCCCTGGGTAGTTTATCGTGGTGGTGGGGGGGTCTGTGTGCATTTTCCTTTGTTGTTAGACATCACCGAGCAGTCCCAGAGCAGTGGCTCGCGGCCTCACTTCTGCCTGCCTTGCAGGACCAGCCGGGCCCGGGGGAGACCCCGATGTCTGAACGCATCTATGAGAACACCCAGCACTATGGCATGGGGAAGCCAGCCCGCCTGGCCCCACCCAGGGCCCCCAGGTAACAGCCGGGCCTGGCTGTGAGCTACTGTGTAGGGGCTGGGTGTGGGGTGGTGCCCACATGTTAGGAGAGCGTGGCCAAGGCTGAGCTTGATACACCTCCTGCTGGGGTGTAGGTGTGTGTGTGTCCCTGGCGCCCCCTGCTGGAGGGATGAGCCCTGTTTGGGGCAGGGGCTGGATCGGAGCCAGCACTCCCTCGACAGGGGTCCACAACCATTTTCTGTTGCTCCCTCCCTTACCCATAATGGAAACTGTCCGTCCCCACCCCCATCCCCTGCCGGGAGTGGGGTCAGAACTGCAGTCGGGAGCTGGGCTTGGGACCAGGGCTGGAGCTGCGGCTGGGGCAGAGTGGGGCTGGGTGGTGCTCCCTCCCTGTCCCCCATGGGGGCTGGCCTGGCTGCACTGCCCCAAAAGTTCCTCCATGCCCTCCTAGGGTGGTGTGCCCCACAGTTTGGGGACCGCTGCTCTAGAAGGGAAAGGCCCCTTCTCTGCCCTCCTCCCTCCCGAGGAAGCCAGTCCCCCACTCCGGGGCTGGACTGGAGCCAGTGTCCCCTAGAGGAGAAAGGCCCCATTTCCCATTCCCCAAATCCATGACTCATGTCTGGTCTGGGGTGCTTTAGCCCAGGGGTCCACCCCCAGCCACTCACCCACAGGGGTTGTACGCTGTTGACCGACGCAGCCTGTCCAATCCCCAGCCACGGCACTGCAGCCGACCCAACACTAGCCACCCAAATGCCCTCGCGCCATCCCCAGCCCCCATAACGTTCTCTCTTTCCGTGGCAGCGTGCCCACCGAGGTGTGCCCGGGCTCTCCGGATGGCACCAGGGAATCCCACATCTACAGCCAGCCCATGAACACTGGCAAAGTACCGCAGGTGAGAGACTCATTCCTCTGTGTATACGCGGCCCGGCTCTCCAAGGTTCTGTCCCCGGCTCCAGGAGTAGAGTGGGATCCAGTGGTTAGAGCAGGGGGGCTGGGAGCATGGACTCCTGATTTCTATCCCTGGCTCTGGGAGGGCAGTGGGGTCCAGTGGTTAAAGCAGGGCAGGGGGCTGGGAGCCAGGACTCCTGGGTTCTATCCCTGGCTCTGGGAGGGCAGTGGGGTCTAGTGGTTGGAGCGGGGGTAGGGGGCTGGGAGCCAGGACATCTGGGCTCTATCCCTGGCTCTGGGAGGGCAGTGGGGTCTAGTGGTTAGAGCGGGGGCAGGGGGCTGGGAGCCAGGACTCCTGGGTTCTATCCCTGGCTCCGGGAGGAGAGGGGGGTCCAGTGGTTAGAGCGGGGGCAGGGGGCTGGGAGCCAGGACTCCTGGGCTCTATCCCTGGCTCTGGGAGGGGAGTGGGGTCTAGTGGTTAGAGTGGGGGTAGGGGGCTGGGAGCCAGGACTCCTGGGTTCTATCCCTGGCTCTGGGAGGGCAGTGGGGTCTAGTGGTTAGAGCAGGGGCAGGGGGCTGGGAGCCAGGACTCCTGGGCTCTATCCCTGGCTCTGGGAGGGGAGTGGGGTCTAGTGGTTAGAGCGGGGGCAGGGGGCTGGGAGCCAGGTCTCCTGGGCTCTGTCCCGGCTCTGCCCCCTGTGAGATCAGCTCCCAGCGGCAGCGAGACCAGGCTGGGCTGGGCGCTCTGGGTCAGGGTGAGCACAGCTGCGGGGCAGGGCAGGGAGCATCGCCCAGCAGCTGGAGGGCAGAGCGGTGGGCAGGACGCTGAGTGACGGGGCTGGGGGGTGACATGAAGAGGCGAGCGCCATGCTGGGGGGCCTCTCTGTCGCCGGGGGCAGCGGGACAAGCCCTGGGCAGCTGGCGTGTGCAGCAATATCTCGTCCACCGGCTGGGACAGGGAATGGGGCCTGGGGCCTTTCCCCTGTAGGGGGGCCAGCTCTGATCCAACTGCTGGTGCCTGAGTAGCAGCATTGCCGTGTGCTGGTGGAGTTGCTCCATTCGATGGCAGGAGGAGCAGAGCTGTTACCCCCAAGGTGGAGCTGAAGGAGTTGCTCCATTACCCAGCAGCAGTGGTAGGGCTGTTATCCTCCATGTGTATCTCCCATTACAGAGCTGACGCCCTCAGCTGATGTGTTTTGTGTCGATATAAGGGGTCTCCAGAAGGCCCGACGTAATGATCATCAAGGCTAAAATTGTGGGGGGGAGGAGTTGTTTTTTAGGAGACAGTGTTGCCTAGTGGATAGAGCACTGGCCTGAAACACAGGACGCCTGGGTTCTCTTCCTGGCTCTTCCACCTGCCTGTTGGGTGACCTTGGCTAAGTCACTTCCCCATCCGGTGCCTCAGTTTCCCCAGCCGTGCTTTCAACTCTGCTGATGTAAAGCTCCCCGTCAGAGTCGGGCGTTGTCATTATTATTCTTTACCCTAGAGTGACCCAGACGAGGTCCACTACGCGGCCGTCCAGCTGCAGCCTCCCACCCGGAGAGCGGAGCCTACCTGCGAATATGCTGTTATTAAGCGCTAGGATCCAGCTGCGGCTCACCTGACACTTCCCCCTACGGCCGCCAGCCAGCTGCACATGCTTGCTGCTTGCGCCAGCTTCTCAGCTAGGGATCCCGCAAGGCGGCGGAGGGGCAATGAGGAGGCACAAGACAAAGAGATTTCCAAGGCCAGAAGGGGCCAGTTTCATTGGCTGTGTGACCCCCCACATTCAGAGGCGACCTCCAGTGGAATCCTGCATCTGGCTGCGCGGCCCCCCAGTCCCCGACGCACAGAGATCACTTGGGGAGGGGTCAGAGAAAAGCCAGGAGAATGACTCAAGGATTGGAAGACAGGCCAGAGTCAGACTCCAGGCGCTCAGTTTATCCAGCGTCACACGGAGAAGGTTGAGGGGTGACTCAGTCCCCTCTAGAAATATCCCCCCCGGGGAACAGAAATCTGGCGAGAGCGGGCCCTTCAATCTAGCAGGCCAAGATCCGGCGGGCGGGAAGTTGAAGCTAGACAAATTCAGACTGGAAATAAGGAGGGAATTTATAACAGGGAGGGTAATTAACCCTGGGAACAATCTACCCAGGGCTGAGGCGGGTTCTCCGTCAGGGATACCACTTATCCGGTTTTCACCCGGACAGTCTGGGTTTCGGCTTGTGTGTCCAGACGCCATGTGACAACCCTGATGTCCATTTTCTTTGATCTGGGGGGGAAAGATGTGAAGCAGGGGCGGGGCCTTGAGGGAAGAGGCGGAGCAGGGGCGTGGCTTTGGGGGAAGAGACAGGGCAGGAGCGGGGCCTTGGGGAGAAGAGGTGGAGCAGGGATGAGGCCTGGGGGCAGAGGCTGAGAAGGGGGCGGGGCCCTCAGGGAAGAGGCGGAGCACAAGGCGGGGCCTCGAGGGAAGAGGCAATGCAGGGGGTGAGGCTTTGGGGGTCCAGTTACCAGCCATTAGAAAGGTGGAAACCCTGTTCTCCATTGGTGGCAATTCTGCCCTCGAGATCATAGAATCATAGAATCATAGAATATCAGGGTTGGAAGGGACCTCAGGAGGTCATCTAGTCCAAACCCCTGCTCGAAGCAGGACCAATCCCCAATTTTTGCCCCAGATCCCTAAATGGCCCCCTCAAGGATTGAACCCACAACCCTGGGTTTAGCAGGCCAATGCTCAAACCACTGAGTTTTGCTTCAAGGGCGGCCCTTGTTCAGCCACTGATGAATTCAGGGCAGCCCCACGGCCTGGGCGACACACGAGGCCAGGCTGGGTGATCTCCCCACCCCCGTCTGAGCTCAGAATCTGGGAATTAGGCTCCAAATTCAGAGGTTTGCTGGATCTGGATTCTTAGAGGTGGCCCCGTAAATGGGGCATTCAAGGGGGTGGCACAGGGATCGGAGGGTGGAGGGAGGCACTAAGGCACAGCTTCTGGAAGGCGTTTTGGTGCCTGACTCCCCTGGGGCTTCAGCCCCACGGAAGGGCTGTTTCTGTCGCTTCCCATTGACTCAATAGACATCCCAGGCTTCAGCGCGACGCAGACACAGCAGGCCTCTGCTGGACTCACCCTATAAAGCTTTAGCACTAAAACACAAAATGTCGACTGTCTTCTTGTATCCGCGTGGCCCCGGGCCGTAAGAGAGACAAGGTGGGTGACAGAATCTATTTTTTCGGACCAACCAGTGTTGGTGGAAGGGCCCCACTTTGGAGCGTCTCCTTCGGTCTGGAGAAGGAAACCAGGGGAATCCAGGCCTGGGTGGGACAGACTCTCTCAGCTTGTTTCTCGCATTGCTCAGGAAGTCGATGTCGCTGTTCTGTTTGGCTCCTTTCTTTGCCACGTTGAGAAGTTTCCATTTTCAATGCGAAAGTTCTGAGGCCATGGTGAAGCGCGACACCTCGTCCCTTCCACCCGTGGGGCCAGTAAAAGATCTGACCTCCCCTGGCCTCCTCTCGCTTAAACACAAACCAGCAACATCACGTGCTGAAATCTACAAAGTAAATAGCCTTCAGTCAAACTGTAGCTGTAGTTTTCCATGATTATTGATGGAAATGGTTTGTTCGGGGGGTGGGATACGGTGAAATCGATATTTACCACCATTGAGCGATGAAACAAATTGAATTCTTCCAACCCTACATGTATTTATGCCATGCCAAGCATCAGTGAGAGATCAGCCTTATAACCAATAACCAATATCCACCCTTATTCTAAGCTAATGCACCGATTTCCTTATGGCGGATTCTAGGCCCAGTTGCCTCACCTCTTACTGAACACTTAGTAGTTCACTTAGGATGTCCACAGGCTTGGAGGATTTGGTTTTTAGTGGTAAACGTCAATTTCACCGTACTCACACCAACCGCCAAAACATATTTCCACTGGTAATAATTGACATCAGCAGATGGGCCAAGTAAGAAACCTGTGGCTTGAGAACTTAGTGTTTGATTTTAGGGTATTTAGTTGGCTATTTTGACCGGGGGTGTTGACAATTCATGTTTTAAGAGTTGTAAAGTGTTCACGCTTTCAACCGCGACACATGCAGTCATGAAATAAGTATTGGCTGACACCCCTCCCCATAGTTTCCTGCAATTAGGACAATTTAAATTGATTAAATTAGTTTAAAGGCCATAATTTTGTACAATTGTAAAAATTTTAAACCAATCAAAATCTGAAACATACTTAAAAATAAATATCAATATTATCTGTTGAAATTAGGGCTGTCGATTAATGGCAGTTAACTCACACGATTAACTCAAAAATCAATTGCAATTAATTTAATCGCACTGTTAAACGATAGAATGCCTATTGAAATGTATTAAATATTTTGGCTGTTTTTCTACGTTTTCATACATATATTGTGTTCTGTGTTGTAATTGAAATCACAGTGAACATTATTTTTTATTACAGATATTTGCACAGTAAAAATGATAAACAAAAGAAATCGTATTTTTCAGTTCCCCTCATACAAGTACCATAGTGCGATCTCTTTGTCCTGAAAGTGCAACTTACAAATGTAGGGGGTTTTTTTTGGTTACATAATTGCACTCAAAAATAAAACAATTGAAAGTTTTAGAGCCTACAAGTCCACTCAGTCCTACTTCTTGTTCGCCAATCGCTAAGACAAACAAATTTGTTTACATTTGCAGGAGATACTGCTGCCTTCTTCTTCTTTACAATGTCACCTGAAAGCATGAAGGGGCACGTAAATATCTTTAGCGCATCTGGCACGTAAATATCTTTCAACACTGGCTACAACAGTGCCATGCGAACGCCTGTTGTCACTTTCAGGTAACCTTGTAAACAAGAAGCGGGCAGTATTATCTCCCGTAAATGTAAACAAACTTGTGTCTCTTAGCGACTGGCTGAACAAGAAGTAGGACTGAGTGGACTTGCAGGCTCTAAAATTTTACATTGTTTCATTTTTGAGTGCAGTTTTTTATGTACATAATTCTACATTTGTAAGTTCAACGTTCATGACAGAGAGTCTGCACAACAGGACTTGTATTAGGTGAATTGGAATACACTATTTGTTTTTTCACAGTGCAAATACTTGTAATCAAAAATACAGTGAGCACTGTGCACTTTGTGTTCTGTGTTGTCACTGAAATCAATATATTTTGAAAATGTAGAAAACATCCAAAAATATTTAAATAAATGGTATTCTGTTATTAACATTGCGATTAATCACACGATTAATCACGATTAATTTTTTTAAAATCACTTGACAGCCCTAGTTGAAATTAGAAAACAGTAAAAATCTCACACTCTATCACGAGGTCTCTCTATATACTGTGCACTCCTTTTATAACAATCACATCTGCTCCTGATTATTTGATTCTTATAAGCGGTCACTTCTTGCAAGAGGAGTACAGGTATGATTTTGTCCCAGCGGTTTTGCTCCCTGGTTTTGATTGATTCTTATAACAGTGTTTCTTATAACTGGAGCGCACTGTATATCTATCAAATCTGTATAGGCCGCACCTGTATATCCATATAGCCACATATGTGTTGCCCTGCACAGGTGTTAGAGAAGGCAGAGCCCAGAAATGACCCGGCTCTAGGAGCAGGAGGTGGGGAATAGAAACAAGTGAACGTGTTCACACAAAACTTTTTGTGATCAGGAAACACAGGTTCTGCGCCACCAAATCATCACGCAATTTTGGGAGGGTTTTGCCAAATTGTCTCAGTAGAAGATAAAACCCTCAACCCTGGAATTGGTTCAGTCCAAAATGATTTTTTTGGTTTCAAAAATTCCTTTCATGTGTTGTTTTTAAATCAAAACCATTGAAAATCAGTCAGACTTGACAGGAATTTTGTTTCCGATTTTTCGACGTTGCTGGCAAATCGGTTATTTGCCCAGCTGTGATGGGGGCTGCCCCACCCTGACCATCCGTTTCTGGCAAGGTCATTCCCACTGGTGCAAAGATGCTACAGAAGCCTGAGCCAGCTGCCCTGCTGAAATTGGAAAGGGGCCCACAAGCATCTCCGCCCTGCACAGATTAAGCCCGCGCTGAGCCGTGACGTTAGACTGAGGCCTGGCTCCTGTGTTAGGTCCAGCCACTGGGCGGTAACAGGGGCCCGATGGCAGGATCGGGGTCAAAGCGTTTCCTCCTGGCTCCGGGTTAAAACGCTGAGCTGTGGATCCTGAAGATGAGTGAGGGATCGCAATGCTAGGAGAGCTCTGGTGTGGGTAATACTGGGCAGTGGGTACTCTCCAGGCCGTGTGTTTTGCAGGGCTAGAGGGTTTGGTTTATCAATCCACACATCTCAAGGGGACTGTTCTGCATGGCCAGTTTGCCCTCGTCCCTAGCTCGGGCCGGAGAACCTCCCCCAGGGGTCCCTGCACCCAGCCCAGATCTGGTCTAGATCTCGGTCATGCTAAAGCGCCATTAACTCCGCCCCTTTGTATGTGTGTCCTTAACTCTGCCCCCTTTGCAGATTTCAAGCCCAGATCTGGGGGCTGAGGTACAGTGCGGCTAAGTGAGACACCCGATCGCAATGGAAGGACTCAAAGGTTTGGAGAACCTGCCCCCTCCCTGGGGTGGTTGTTGTGAGGGTCAAGTCCTCTCCTTGGGAAGAACCTGCCCCTTATGTCCAGTCTGTATTTGTTTGGCTTCATCCCCCAGCCATCGGAGCTCGCTTTGCCTTTGTGGGGTGGGTTAACCAGCCTCTGCTCCCCAAAATCCCCTCCCCAGAGAGGTGCTGCTAGACCTGGACCAAGGCACCCCCCCTCCCTGGTGCTGTGGGAGACCCAGATTCAAGCCCTTGCTCGGTTTGATTCACACTGGGGCATCGGGGCCAGCCCTTACTGCCATGGGAGAGCCCCCACCC